AATCGGAAGTGCCGATGGCCGAGAAGAAAGCCTTATTTCTTACATTGCCTTTTCGAGTGGATCCAGCAAGCGAACTTCTACAGCTTCACTTGAATGCGGCACTCGCGTGCACGTATCCAGCAGCTAATTTAGGATTAGTATTATAAAGCACTCCACTTCTCCGGCTTAAAAGTGAGGACAGACTCCCATTCCAGACCTCTTCAATGTGCATCTACGCCTTTACATGCTCCTGTGGGGTAGATTATATTGGTCGAACAACTAGGCGGCTATCCGAGGGCATGCGAGAACACCATCTTTCTTGGCTAACCAAAGGCAAGGTAAAGACAATATCTAGCGCGATTTTGGCCCATTTGGTTTACAGTGGGCATCGGCTAGACGTAAGCCAAACGTTTGAGTCATGCATAAGGTGCCGATGAAATACTCTAATTTCCTGCTTCAGCGGATACTAGCGACGGCAGAGGCAGTCACCATACATCTCACTTACCCGATCTTATACGCGCAGAAGGTGTTTGTACAGACACTAAGGTTCCCGTGGCCGAAGACCAACTCAATATCCGTCCGCACGCTTCCTACCACGCCGAGAGGCAGTGAGGAGACAGCGACAGCAAGCATCCCCAGGCCACCCACACCGTCGCGAGACGAGGGCACCTTGTGTACTCACGCCTCCCAACAAAACGCGTGGCAGGGACGACGGGGCGAAAAGAACTAATTGTCGGGCTCCCTCCTCCCCTCTTCACTCTCTGGTCTCTAAGTATGACCCCTTTGATCTCTTAACACCTCTCCTCTTAATTACTATTGATTGGTTGCTTAAACTTTGGTTAACTCTACCCTATCTTATCTTATCGTATTAGCATTATGATTAATTAACGGAAAACGTTCTTTCGCTTAACTTGACCTCATGAATGCCTATATGGGTATAATTGCTGAACTTAAACAGACAGAGTTTTCAATTGTTTTTGTTAATTTATGGAAGCAGGTTCAAATGTCTCGTGCCTGAGGGGTATGCATTTAAGTATCCCAGTGAGTTATATGTGGCTATGTCTGTCTGATGTGCACGAGTTGAGCTAGGGTTGACCATATAAATTTCAGCGCGTCCGGAACCGCTCGCAGGAAAGGTGAATAACTATGACACTGTGGAACACTGAAGCAAGACGCAGGACATTGTAAGGATGACTGGCGAATACAAGATCTCCAGTGTATGCAGCTAGTCCTATGGCTACTAGCAACCAGACATCGAGTTGCCCTACCGATAAGGATCCTGACGTTAGAGTCATTAAGCATGTTTTATCTTTTCTTCTGCCCCCGGCGCCAACAAACATTATTGATATGAAGTTACAGGAATTTCTACCATTATTACCTCGCCGCTACCATCATTGATACTTCCACCACCACCACCTCCGCCACCACCACACTTAGTATTTTTGTTTCTCTCTATTTCATCCGACATTGCACGAGCCTGTTAGCACAGTGCTGAGAGCATTGCTCGATTATCAACTAAGCCGAGTTCGAATCTCGGGTTTCATCCGGCGGTCCGCTGTCTTGGGCCTGAAACTCGGGGTTGTGGTAGCACTGACGGAGGCAGAAATTATCATTCCAGTCGCGTTGTGGGTAATTTTTAGATTACTGATTGCTATTCACCATGTCAACGCCTGTATGGGATGCAAAGTCAGAGCTAGTGCCAACTTTTTTTCTATGATCAGGGTATATCGATGCCCCTTACCGGGTATTCGCGTCACACGCCGCGGTGTCAACTGCACAAAAAGTTCTAGTGCAGCAAGCCAAACTACCGCAGGAAAATAAGTAGAAATAACTTCAGCATAAATTGTACTCCG